GCACAATTCCTACCAATGACAACAACGATGGGGCATTATTTACTCCAACTGATGCCGGGACATTTTCTACTCCAGATGGCCACAGTCTGGCCCCCTCTAAAGTCTGAAGGATAGTAAACTGGCCCTTTGTTTAGAAAGTTTGGAGACCCCTACACTAGAACAACACAGTGGAGTACTGTCCATGAATTTTAATTTGCACTAACAGTTACATCTTCAGGACAGCTACCCCTTCTTCTCTTTCAATAGATTTTTATTCAAGAAATTTTGCAAAGTACAGTGATACAAACATTATCAAACAAATGTCAAAAGATGTATGCACCCTCAAATATGTTCAGGGGCCGGGTTGTCTCATTCAAGTTACATACAGACAAAGGAACTGATCCTCAAAGGCTGGCCCTGCCAAATAAAAAACAGTAGCTTACCAAGGGTGTAAAGCTCAATAATTTGGTCTCCCAGTTACAGCAGACAGAATAAAGTCATAACTGTAAAAGAGAGTTTCATTAAACTGCAAATCAATTGCTGTCCCAGTTATACCGAAAGGTGTGGGTGTTATAATGACAGGTAATGTTTCCAGTACCTCAAGGGGTGGTGCCATGCACCCAAATATATGCCAAGTTGAGTAAAGCTCTATGGTCCCCCTATTGGCATCAATATGAAAATCATCAAAATCATGAAAAGTAAGAAAAGAGGAAAGTATAAGGAAGAAGGAAAAAGACAAAGAAAGGCAGAGACTGATCCCCTCAATCCAGACACCCAGCCCCCAGGGCGTCCTGATGACTAGGGAGCGTTAATTTAGCGATTCAGCAATTTTTCAAACCTGGCTCGTTTGTCCCTGAGGATACTTGTCAATTTTTCATTAATCATAATCTAGGATAATTTGTGTTTAACCATTGAAATATTAAGCATGGGTGATTTCCATGCTCATGCTATGGTAATATTAGCTGCTAACAAAATGAAGAAGATGAGGATTTGGGGATGTCTGGGGACCACATTCGATAGATCAGTGAACAACGCTGTTTTGGCATTTTTGGGTATATTCCTCTCTGACAATCTACTCCTTTTAATGTCCAAGCAGTACAAAGGGTATTTCAAGAAGCTGAACTAATGAGAAAACAATGTAGGTAACATACTAATTTAAAGAATTAACTATTTCAGTATTATCCCACATGAACCACATTTTCAATAAATACAGAATTCATTTAAAGAGAAAGTATAGCATATTTTCACTGAGCACATATTTGGGATTAGAAATGCTGTGTTCAATTAAACCCAATACCAGATTTATAGGCTGCCAATAAAAACCTTTGCTTATGAAGATGCTAGTTACCTGGCTGTTGTGGCTGTCTTTTTTTCCCCCAAAGTAGCTGGCCTAGAATAAAGCCCTGTACATACAGGCTGAATAGTGACTGAAATCAGCTGGTGCAGTAGAAACCAGCCGACATTTAGCCCATGTGTACAGGTCCTTGTTTGACAGAAGCCGACCTCATGACCAACTTCTGTTGAACGAGCATACTGGAAAACCAGAAGTCGATCGACATCCGATCAACGCTCTCAGATTAATATAACTAAAGGCAAAACCTTTTTATTTTTTTGCATGATTTGCATTGTTTGGATATAGTGGGAGTTTTTATTGTGGTCTGTGTCCCCATTAGGGAGATTCATTGTCTAACTGTCCTGATTACCAATATCATCATAAATGAAGGTGAAAGCAAATCCAAAAAATGAGTTGCCACCACAATAGGAAGGGGTAATCTCCTTATTAAGATTTTCTGTACTGGAAAATCCACAAACACATCTGGTATGAACAAATTCTTAGCAGTAAAGCACAGCCACTACATGACACTTATGAAGGAGACAGCGGGGCCTGCATATTTAAGGAGCAAAATATGGCTGCTTTAAAATATAAAGTATACAGTGAGACAAGGTTTTAAAAACCTTAATACAACATGAATTATATCAAGATCTATTTTACATGTACAGAAAATATAAAAAAGATATAGTAAAAAAAAAAAAAAAGAGACTAAATTCCCTTTACATCCTCACTTTTGACTTACTTTTCCTAATGCTACAACAGCTTTCTCTGGAGGATCATCATTTTCTAATGGTTGGCTCAATCCAGGGTTGTGCTGGTAGTGAACAGAGGGCTTGATTCCCTTATGTTTTACATGCCCAAATTAATGGCATTAAAAAAGCAGCAGAGAAAAGTCCTTCCAAATGTTCTACTCTATTCCATTAGACACTGGCAGAATTTATTTCTAAAGTAAAAAATTCAGAGATCAATATGAAGTAAAAATCGTAAGTATTTTTTAGGAGTATTTGAAGTCCAAAACATTTTGCCTAGGTTTCTAAGGGGTGGGGTAGTTAGAAACTGTCATGTCCTTATTGTTCATTGAAAAGATTTCCCATCACTTCCTACCTAGAAGCAGTTGTCACCAAGACAGAAGGTGAGGAGGAATCTCTAGGGCTCAATCACAACTGCAGTCAAGCTGATTGCACTCCTGCTGATTTGCACTGGATGGAAACAGTGCCAATGTGCTGATCCTAGAACAACACATTGTTTACTTAGTTCTTTAACTATTTTTTTTCTTTACTTGGTGGCATTGTAATGTTGTAGTTTGTATGGCAACCCGCTGCAGTAGAAGTAGTAAAATACTGCATGTAATGTTTTTTTCAGCACACACCACTGCAAAGCAATAGTGTGAACTGCCCTCATAGAGAACAAGGCATTTTGCCTGGTGTGAACGAACCCTAATGAAGACAATAGCACTTTTTAGGTACAAGGGGTATGGTTTAGAACTTTTGGATGTTTTTTTTGCAATTTATGTTTTAATAAAACTGGGGTATGGCCTTAGTTAACAAAATGATGCTTTAAAGTGTAGGTAAACCCTTATATGCTTTCTTTTGATCTGTTAAATGTACCATTTTGTTATTTCTGTTTGAGAATTGCAAAAAAACACAAAAAACCCTGATCTTGTCAGAATTTCCGACCGATAGCGGGTCCTCTGCAGGCTGGTGGTTTCCAAAAGAGCTCTTCTTGTTCTCACCTAGAATTACAGAAATATTAGGCTTAACACTGTAAAGATCTGAATGGCTGAGTAGTTAAGACAACTGGGCAGGGCTGACACCATTCTACAAAAATGTTGTGTGCTTGTCAGCCCACAACAGGGCTTGAGTTTCTGGCAGGTCAACAGATATCTTTCTGTACTTGTTGGGTCTTTAATATGAAATATTGGAAACTGTGGATTAGGAAAATGTTTTTAAATGAAAAAAAACTATGAAAAGTCCTCAACCTGGTGAAATTAGTATTTGTGGCTGTCCCCAGATGGAAGTCGGAGTCCTGTCAGTGGGTGGAACAAGTCCCTTGCTATGATCACCTTGACAAAATTAGGCAAGGTTCACAAGTGCTGTACAGGTGGATGGGACATTGATATTCAGACATAGTCAGTTAATCAGTGGCTTTGCCTAAACAGGGATCCTCTCCACTGGCAGAGGCAGTTTTCACACCACCATATGTGTAACAAAACTTTAATAACTGAAAGTATAGGTATATTTATGTGTCTGTCTGCTATTAGAATATTACACTACTATCTTTGGCCATCATGTCCAGCAAAGGCTAACCTCTACTTTCACAAAACAAGATTTAACGGCAGCTATACAACACAAAGAGAAATCTCAGTGTCATCCACCCTTATTATTTATTTCAGGTACTTGTATAGCGCTGTCAATTTACGCAGGGCTTTACATATATATTGTACAATCTAAAGTCCCTAACTCACATTCATACATATACATACTAGGGCCAATTTAGACAGGAGCCAATTAACCTACCAGCATGTCTTTGGAGTGTGGGAGGAAACCAGAGTACCTGGAGGAAACCCATGCAGTCACAGGGAGAACATGCAAACTCCAGGCAGGTGGTGCCGGGGTTGGGATATGAACCAATGACTCTAGTACTGCCAGGCAGAAGTGCTAACCATTTAGCCACTGTGCTGCCCCATTATAACCTTTCAGTAGCAATATTACAAATTGAACAAACTTGTCAAAGCTTTACATACTACACAGACTCTTCTCACTACATTTGGCCCAGCGATATCCTTCCACTGCTATCATACGATATACTATATATTCCAACTGCCACCTACATATTACAGAAGGATACCTTATGATTTGCAACTATATTCGGCATCACGGAGAATAAGCGGTTAACACTCTTCCGTTGCTGGCAAAGGATTAAAATGCCCAAATCCTCCTTCCAAGTGAATGTGAAAATGCTTGAGTTAGTAGCTACGAAATAACCTTGGAACAGAGGCGATATTCTCCTATTAAAGATTAGTAGCCGTGTGAGCGGTGTGGCTCCAGGCATAAATGACCTCAGACTGGGGCTCATGTCAGCATGTTTGTCTTTCCATATACCAAACATACTATTTGTAGTATCTTCCAGATCACATTTTGTAGATACAATGAAACAAAGTTTTGTCTAGTTCAGGCTAGACTGATAACTTTCCCAAGAGGAAATTACAGGATTAATCAACAAATTATACAAGCATTTTCTATGTTTATAGGCATGCCTCCATATGAAAATGACTTGTTTTATTTCTCAACAACAGACCTGTGTAAGAATAACACCCACCTGCCATAAACACAGCCTATTGTTACTTTCTTCATAGTGTCAAACATCTTTTCATTCAATTATAAGGTGTAAGGAAATAAGCAAGTCGAACCCAGCTTGCTGGAGGCACACAGAAGACTACTGAAGAACCGGGAGACTGGTTGCCTCTGTTTTGACCTCTGGTCTCCTAATTCCGTAGCAGGCACACAGTGCTTACTGAGTAAACAGCACAGAAATAATTGGATTCTGCTCCATATTTTAAAGAATAACTTCCTCTGCCTGAAATATATCATACATCCTTGTCGTATACTGGCCATGCCTATTGGGAGCTGGCAATTTCTCATCAGATTTTGGGAGAGTCACCCTAACCACAGTTGCTCAGTTTACATCCAATAATCTCCCCATTATAACCCATAGATGAGCAGTTCATAACCTTTTTCAAATCATGATACACCTCAATAAAATCTTTAAATATTTGATATTTATGACTTGACTGACACCAATGATGTGGCACTATTCCTCCCACTGACACCAATGATGTGGCACTATTACTCCCCTGATACCAATGATGGGGACACCATTCCTCCCACTGAGACCAATGATGGGGCACTATTCCTCCCACTGAGACAATGATGGGGCACTATTCCTCCCACTGAGACCAATGATGGGGCACTATTCCTCCCACTGATACCAATGATGGGGCACTATTCGCACTGATACCAATGATGTGGCACTATTCATACCACTGATACCAATGATGTGGCACTATTCATACCACCAATGATTGGACACTATATCATACCACTGATACCAATGATGGGGCACTACATACCATGATACCAATGATGGGGCACTATTCATACCACTGATACCAATGATGGGGCACTATTCATACCACTGATACCAATGATGGGGCACTATTCCTCCCACTGAGACCAATGATGGGGCACTATTCCTACCACTGATACCAATGATGGGGCACTATTGATACCACTTCCTATTGATACCACTGATACCAATGATGGGCACTATTCCTCCCACTGACACCAATGATGGGGCACTATTCCTCCCACTGACAGCAATGATTGGGGACTATTCCTCCCACTGACACCAATGATGGGGCACTATTCATACTCCCACTGACACCAATGATGGGGCACTATTCCTCCCACTGACACCAATGATGGGGCACTATTCCTGCCACTGACACCAATGATGGGGCACTATTCCTGCCACTGACACCAATGATGGGGCACTATTCCTGCCACTGACACCAATGATGGGGCACTATTCCTGCCACTGACACCAATGATGGGGCACTATTCCTGCCACTGACACCAATGATGGGGCACTATTCCTGCCACTGACACTAATGATGGGGCACTATTCCTCCCACCGACACCAATGAAGGGGAACTTGTAGGACCATGCATCAAACACTTTTTGAGTACTTAACAATAGAACAGCTGTAATAGCTCAGAAAAACTAATTTTTTAATTATTTTAAAGTAGGAGGGGGGTGCTGCCTGCCAACTCCGGGTAGGAAAAAAAACTTTTTAATTTATAGCACAATTAAAAGTGATAGGGCAATTGTTTTCATACCACATTTTAAGAAGTTAAAGCGAACCTTCTACTTTACTAATTTTTCTGCTTCCCGGTGATATAACCAGGGCCCCCTCAGATAAATCCTGGGAAGGTTACATCGCCACTGCCCCCTCAGATGTTGGGCACTGTCACATATTCCAGCAGGCAGATCCAGAGTTCTAAGAGGTAAAAGGGAGATGGATCAATCTGCCCTTAATAAAACTGACCATCAAGGGAAGATTTAGGAGTAAAAAAAAAAATAAGATGCAAAGAATAAAAAGCCTGCAGTTATCTATTAGTCCTCATGCACACTGGACGTTTCTACAGCCAGTAAACTCCCCAGCATGTTATCCTATGTGTCCATGCACACAGACTGTAATCAATATTTTTTGGCAGGGACGTTTGTTGGTTGGAAAAAAACCCCAGGACTAGTGGGTTTCTAGAGGAATTATTTACCTGTAAAAATGCCCTAATGCTGCAAAAAATGGTAAAACGCCACAAACAAGCGGTTTTGGACTTTTTTGACCAAAAAAAACAAAAAACACTAAACAAACGCAAATGCAGAAAAATGCTAAAAAAAAAAAAAAAAAAAAGCTGATAAACTCACGTTAACATGACTTTACACAGCTAACGTTACCAGCATTATCAAAAACGCCTAAAAGGTACCTTTGCTGTAATTTCTAAGATAAGGGACAAGTTCCTCTTTAATATACCATACCAGGGGTCTCCAAACTTTTTAATAAAAAGCCAGTTTATGGACCTTCAAATTTTAGGGGGGCTGGACTGTGGCCAGTGCGAGTAAAAAATGTCCAAGTGTCAGTGGGAGTAAACACAATGCTCCATCTTTGGTATTAAGGAATAGTGCCCCATTGTTGGTGTCAGTGAGAAGAATAGTGTCCCATCATTAGGGTCAGATGCAGGAATAGTCCCTCATCTTTGGTGTCAGTGGGAGGAATAGTGTCCCATTGTCGGCATCAATGACAGGAACTACGCCCCACTGGTACTGACAGTGGGGGGAGGGGATAATGCCCCAAGGTCCAGTTAAAAACAAGCATCCGGCCCCTGGACTGCAGTTTGGTGACCACTCTACTATACTAGGCACTGCAGTATGTTCCTGGTAGGCATTAAATGGTAGTCCCCTACTACTTCTATAAGGAGTTTAGCCTCTGGTCCTCCTTGCAGGCAGTTGTTCCCTTATTTGCCCCCTCCAACATATAGGCTGACGTTCCCTTGGAACAATGCTGTGGTGTCTCTGGGGTTTTTTGATTCTCTTTAAACGAGGCCTTCATTTTTTTCAGTGACACACTCTCAGCCGCCAGCAGCCTCTTGGGACATTCACATCACACATCCCAGAAGACTGAAGGTTAACAAGTATCATGAGATTTAATGCCTGCATAGACGTCATCATGAAACTTCAGCACTTACTGACCTGCAACGGGGAGCTAAAATCAGCTATATACAATACATGAAAGCAAATATTTTTGGTGATTGTATACTACAGTGGTTGGAGGAAAGGGATAATGCCTTGACCAGGGGCGGACTGACAACTCATGGGGCCCCCGGGCAATAGGGGATCATGGGGCCCCTGTGTCCTTGACCAAACTCAAAAAAGCCTATGAAAAAGGTACCAGGGGCATCTCATGGGGCCCCCTACTGACCCCGGGCCCTCGGGCAGTGCCCAAGTTTCCCAATGGTCAGTCCGCCCCTGGCCTTGACTATTGTAACTCCCTCCTCAATGGCCTACCTCATCGCAGGCTTTTCCCTCTTCAGTCTATCATGAATGCTGCTGCCAGACTCATCCACCTTACAAACTATTCTGTAACAGCCACCCCCTCTCTGCCAATCCCTCCACTGGCTTCCCATTGCCCAACGAATAAAATTCAAAACATTATCAATAATATATAAAGCCATTTATAACACACTGCCCCAAATTACATCACCAATCTTGTCTCCAAATATCACCCAAACCGTCCTCGCACGACCTCCTACTCTCTAGCTCCCTTGTCTCCTCCTCCCATGCTCGTCTCCAGGATTTCTCCAGAGCCTCTCCCATCTTCTGGAAACTCTCTACCTCAATCTATCAGACTATCACTTACTCTGCCTGCTTTTAGGTGATTTCTGAAAACCTCTCTCTTCAGGGAAGCCTATCCTGCCTTCAGCTAATAACAGAATCTTCTATTCCTCCTACCACTCCATCCCCCACAGTTCTTACCTCCAGCCCCTCCCTCTTAGATTGTAAGCTCCAAGGAGCAGGACCCTCCTATCCCTCTTATATTGAACTGTATTTTTGTTGTATTGTCTCCCTTTATATTGTAAAGCGCTGAGCAAACTGTTGGTGCTTTATAAATCCTGTATAATAATGACAAAAATTGCAGTATATGGTAACAGGTCCTCTTTAAATTACAGTACCTTCAAAGCCATATATGTATCCTTACTTTTTTCATTTATAGGAGGGGTAACAGGGGCATTTTCACCACGCTGCTCTGAAAGCATGGGCAACTCAGAGCTTTTATACAGTCCCAGTGAGAGTTCTGTACCTAATTAGAGGGAAGACAAAATGACCACCAGACTAAGTAATCATGTAACTAATGTAAACAGACTTGAATGCATTTATGAAAGGTATTTTGGGAGTCTGCAGTATTGTCGGTAAGATGCTGCAGGCACTTTTTAGGTAATGCACACCATTTGTGAGTTGTGGCACACAGATTAAGAATCATTGTAATATGGAAACAAGTGATTATGGCTGTATTCACTAAACAAGTGTGGATCAGGCAACTCGGGGAGGTGCTGCTTTTGTCTATATTAGGATATTTTGAATGCAAACTACAAAGGGGTCTATTTATAGAAAACATTTCCATAGTCATTTGCCCAGCGAGTTTGCATGTATATTTATTCTGTGCAAATTAGTAAAAAAAAATGAATGTTCTTTCAGCTATTTTCTCTTTAGAACGAATGTTGTTTTATTATGGGCAGTAGTATAATACTGCATTATGACCACTAGATGGAGCTGAGAAGCATAGGAAAGACATATATCTCTTTGTAAAGGAGAAACAATGTAGCAATTCTAGCGAATGTTACATGCCCCTTTCACACCGACAGTCCGATCGGTTCCGCCTGTCAGTTTTTCAGGTGGACCCAATTGGACTAGCCATAGACCTCTATGGACCGGCGGGTGTCAGCACCAGCATCTGATCTGATTCTGTATGTCAAAAACAGACGGATGGGGATCCATTCCCTGTCCGTCTGGTGGATCAGAGCGGATGGAAGTCGGATGGAAATGGATAGGTGGTCCATTTCCATCCATCCAACCGCCCCATAGAAGACAGCAGGCAGTGTCTGTGTCTGTTCTGCAGCAGTGGAGCGGACACAGACCTTCCATCCGCCTGCTCGGCAGGGATCAGAGGAGAGATCCTCTGCTGAGCAGGTGGATCCACTGACAGGTCCGTCCCATCTGAAATTCATGTAAGCAATGGATCTCAAGAATTGTTACATTGTATCTCTTATTACAAAGACATTATTATTATACAGGATTTATATAGCACCAACAGTTTGTGCAATGCTTTACAAAATTAACCTCCCTGGCTGTATGATTATTTCAGATTTTTGGTGCTGAAAGCGGTACCATTATTTTGCATGGAAATCTGTAGTTTTTATTGTAGCCTGTAATTTTTAGGAATAACTCACAGAAATCTGTCCGAACAAGAGTCTATTAAACATCCCGGGTATGATAAAATTTGAAACACGAAATCATAAATTATAATTTAATAAATAATCATAAAAATAATAATATATAATATTACATTTAATTCAATAATATAATCAAACCAAAAACACTGAAATTTGAAATATAGCGCCAAGTTCGCACATCGCTGAGCAAAGTCGCAAAATCGTTTTCAGTGTCTGATGACTAATTTCCCCACGAATCATTATCACTCATTGCTGCAAGTGGTTCTGATTTACTATCGCTGTTCTCTAGCTGATCTAAACCCACTTTTGACCTAAAGGGACACTTTTTGGACGCCATGGACTTTTCTACGTTTCCAGGCAGAAAGAACAGACAAAATGCAGACAGGGGACAGGACAGAGCACTAGGGACAAAATGTATGTGAAATGGGTTGAAACAGCAATGTTTTACTATGAAAAATCGTTTTGAAAAAAAAAAATGACTTATTTTTTTTTAAATTTTTCAAATTTCCCGCCGCTGGCGGCGCCCATACGTCCCGACGTCACAGGGACCGGAACACAGAAGCCAGATGCAGGCATCAGCCGGAGGAGATGGCCGGGGACGCTGCAGGGGACACACCGCGGGAGCGCAGGACAAGGTAAGTGCTGCAGGGACTCCCTATACAGCGCTGCATGGTAAGCCCGAGTGTAGCTCGGGGTTACCGCTTTTGGTATAGAAATTTTACCCCGAGCTACACTCGGGAATACCGTTAGGGAGGTTAAGGGAGACAGTGCAGTTACAATACAGAACAGATTAGAGGGCCCTGCTTGTTAGAGTTTACAATCTAAAAGTATTATTTCCTATGCTCCTCAGCTCCATCTACTGGCCATAATGTGGTATTATATTACTGTCCATAATAAAACAGGTGGGCAGCACAGTGGCTAAATGGTTAGCACTTCCATCTGGCAGTACTAGGGTCGTCGTCGGTTCAAATCCCAGCCACGGCACCACCTGTCTGGAGTTTGCATGTTCTCCCTGTGCCTTCATGGGTTTCCTCCGGGTACTCTGGTTTCCTCCCACACTCCAAAGACACGTTGGTAGGTTAATTGGCTCCTGTATAAATTGTCCCTAGATTGTATGAATGTGAGTTAGGGACTTTAGATTGTATGCCCCTTGAGGGTTAGGGACCAATGTGAATGTACAATATATATAAAGTATGTGTAAATGGACGGCGCTATAGAAGTACCTGAACTAAAAATAATATTCAATCAGAAGGGAAAATAGACTAAAGAACATTCATCTTTGCACAGAACTACTGTGCATGCAGTTTGCTGGATGAATGGCTATACAAATTCAAAGCTGGGTATTTCTAGATGCCCCAGTGTTGTGTCTGCCAGATCCACGCAGATCGACACAGCTGTTGGAGCTCATGTATCTGCATTTTCATGCGTCTTTGGCTTAGATGTACACATGGGGCTTGCTACCCCTCTGAAAAGTGGTGTGCAGTAGATTGCTTTTCAGAGATGCTTGAAAGGCAAAAAGGAGGCCATATATCGCCATCTGTTTTAGCCATGGAAATGCTGCACCACCACACAGAGGTATAGTTTTTTTTTCTGCAGATGCAAAGCAAAATGCGCAGCATATGTACAACTTCCATCAGACTGCCTTCGCAGCTTAAGGTGGGTGAGTGGGGACTGTAAAAACGCACGTGAGAGAGACAATTCCCCGCAACTGAATACAGACACAAAAAAAAACGTATAGTTGATCAGTGTGATATAGCAGGAACAGTTCAAGCTAGAACAGTGCGATGTGACAGGCCATAAGTGACAACCTGATCCTGCACATAATAACAGCAATGATCACCATATGTTGCATGGCGTACATGAAAGCACAGGACCATGTGTGAATTAGCTGTGGGAAAAGTTGAGTGACTGGCTGTGGCTTTGGTTGCCTACATCTAAAATACACCAGAAGCCCTTTGAAATAAATAGGTGACAGGAGACACAAGTGCTTAGTGGCTTTCTGTGACGGCAGCCGCAAGGTTTGAAGTGTACTTGGCGGTGCTGTGTTTAACATTCCTGCACCCATTTATACGCACAAAATTGAACAAGCCTCTTAGCTGGGCCTCATTATTAATTAAATGTTAATCTAAAAAGCAATTTACGCCAGTCCTCTTATGACACGCAAGACTACATTAACACATCTAACTTTCATGGCTTGATTTCCCTTACAACCATCCCTGCAAACACTCTCATTTTAAAAAAGACTGGAAAAAAAAAGAAAAGGGAAAAAAAAAAGCCAGGCCCGTTTCTACATTTGCAGTACAGACAGCTGAGCATTTTAATATTTTAATATATAATTTTTCTTTTTTGATCAAAAAGTTTTTCTGTATTAATAATAGTTATATGAACTGGGGGGGGGGGGGGGGATTTGCGTCATATGGTTAGGAGCAAGCTCTTATTCACATCTGGGCATAGTAAAACCTCTTCCATGTTGCAGGCAATTGTGTTGTATGTGTAAGTATTGTGTCATAAACAGCAGAGGAAATTCTGCAACAGATTCACCAAAACGCCTTACCGTTATTTGAATCTGTCGCAAATTGCATTTGTTACAAGGACAGGAAACAGATTCCTAATGTGTGTCTATCACAGGAATAGAATTGAATTTAGGGCTCATGTACACTGCAGCTGATAAACTCACGTTTAGGAGCTGCTGAGCGTTTTTTTTCAGCAGCCCCTGGACTCACCCTAATGTTTCCTATGTGTCCATGTACACATCTTCGTTTACAGTCATTTATAGGCAGTTGAGTTTAAAGTCATTTTTTTGAACGCAGAAAACTTCAGCTCAGCGTTTCAACACAAAACACTTGTAAACGCGTGTAAACGCAGCTAAACGCGTTTCTAGGAGTTTGTGTTTGAACATTTCTTTTAACTCTTCCATTTCCAGATGCTGTCCAGAGCCTTTTTCATCATGAAAAATGCACCCAAAGCGTTTTCCCGGTACTCAAATGGACCTGGTACACCATACTTTGAGGTTTTGCATGAAAAAGCATATGTTAGACACTGCTGCAATAATTTCTGCACAAAAATGAGCTGGAACACATCCAAACAAAAAAAAAAAAAAAAAAAGACAGGTAATCTCAACAAATACTGCTCTCTCTCTGCTTCTGCTCACTCTATTTCTCTCAAAATGTCTGAAATAGTTAATTTTTTACTGGTTTTCAGTGCATTCTGGGCATTTTGGAAGGTCTCCTGAGGTTATCTTTAACGCTTCTAAATGCAAACACGCATAAACGCGGTGTGCAAACGTGGATAAACAGACTTTTTTAACCTACATTTTCCAGCAGTCAGTTTCCATCGTTCAGAAGTGTCCTATGTACCCCATACCTTAGGTCCTCCAGATACATATTAGACATAGAATTGAAGCCCTTAGTGAATACCTGCTGAAATCAAATCAGTTACAGGCTACTCAACATTGAACACATAAAGGAACTGATACTATTCCGTTAGCAAATTGAATATTCACTGATCTTCGTAAATAAGGTGAGGCTGTGTTCACTTTAAATACCCAATCAAAAGCAAGGAAGATCATAAAAGCAGGATTTTTTTTTCCCAGTATATGATTAGGTGATTGAAGTAAACACTGCTTTGTCTTAATGTGGTTGTAAACCCTTACATATGCCCGGTGAAGCCACTGGCCTAAGGTGATACACAGAGATGACACAAATCCAGCTTTACCCGCTAAGCTTAGTAAATATTTGCTTTGCCAATTAAACATTCTCTGTTCTGTACGCTCTCTGGGTCCTTTCACATGGGCGTTCCGTTTTTTTTTCTTCATTTCAGTCACGTTTTTTTCAAAGAAAAAACAGATGAGTTTACATCCGTTTTTTTTTATCCATTTACATCCATTGTTTTATCTGTTTAGATCCTTTTTCATCAGTTTTTCGTCTGTTCCGTTTTTTTTGTGGGAAGAAAAATAGGGTTTTCTTCCGTTCAAAAAAGGGATGTTAACAGATGCTGACATTAACGGATGTAAAAAGATGTTCATCCGTTTACATCCGCAAGTCCATAGAAATACATGGGGGTCCGCTTTTTCATCCGTAAATGGACAGATGAAAAATGGACATACGGAACGCCCGTGTGAAAGGACCCTTAGTCCCCCATTCACACAGGCGGTTAGATTTCAGTTTTTTGCTGCGGTTTGAGGAACTTATTTACTGCAGCTAAATGCAGACAATGCATTCCTATGGCTCCATTCATTTACTGTGTTTAGGACCATTTTCATAACATACGTTTTTATGCGTATAGGAAAAATAGAGTTGACAGCGTCCAGGAGTGATGTACTGCAGCTATCTGTACATAAAAGCAGTTAATCGAAGTACAAAGAAAAAATAAGAAAACAGTTGCTATAGAAAAGGCAAGGATTTACCAACACAGCTGAATACAGCCACATGTAAACGCAAGTAATCACATAAAAACGCAATGTACAACCATGAGCGATCTCTGCGCCAGGAGTCTTGGAATGTCAAAATAAAAAAACATGCATTTACAAGCAACAGAACAACCCGCCCGTGTGAAAGAGGCCTTACAGGTGACCTGTATACTTGCATTAAGGAATCACATGGGTGACCAGGGGTAGTAAAAACAGGCAGTTGAGTTGCGGATTTACAGCCAGCCAGTTGTGCTACCAAGGTCTTGTTCACATCTGAAGGACGCTCCCGCATAGTAGTTTTGATGCGTTTTTATAGTGCGCTTTTGTATTGAGTGGCACCATTCAGTTGGATAGGCCTCCCTCTGCTCCAAAAATGCACTAAAGAAGCTGACATTTGGTACTGATCCAAGCATGCTTTACGACTCACTTTTTTTTGTTGTTGTTTTCCTTCATTTGGGGTGCCATTTAGAAATAATGGCACAGCATGTGAATTACTCAATTTTCATGTGTTTGCAGAAACATGGGCAGAAATGTGCTTTTCTGCCCCCATTTCCATGAAGCCAAGATGTGAAAGGGGCTTCAGTAAGAAGAAAGCTTGCTTCAAACTATATTGACTCAAACATGACTTCCCCCCCCCCCCCCCCCATGTACATGCAAGCATTATTATGTAATTTCCCAAAAAATAAAATCTTCCACGGACTCAGCATGCATCTCAGCAAATACCTTGGGATGTCTACTTCCTAATAAGGGGTCATTTAGGGGGTGTTGGTACTGTCCTGGCATTTAGTACATCAAGAAATGAGATGAGGCTGTCATAAAGTCAGACCTGCTTAAAAGCTGCATCATTTCCAGTATATATACCATAATGTGTAAACACTATAACTGTCACACAAATCTATTAATAAATGCTCATTGGGATTTTTTTTTATTTTACCAAAGACATATAGCAGAATAAATTTTGGGCTAAATTTATGAAGAAATCTGATTTTATTCGATATGGTTTTATTAACAGAAAGTAGAAAATGTGGGTTTTTTTTTTTTCTAAAATATTCAGTCTTTTTTTATTTGTGTAATAAAAAAATAAGAAACCCAGTGGTGGCCAAATTTCACCAATATAAAACTCCATATGTGTGAAAAAAAAAAAACCGATATACATTTCATTTTGGGTACACTGCTGCATGACAGCAATTGCCTGTTGAAGGGAGTAAAACCGAAGGTCAAGTGGTTCAAATGCTAAAATGTATGTACTGAAAAATGTAGAAGGGTTTTCTTTTTTTGGTCTTTTTTCTTACCTGTCCCTTTGCTATAC